CAAATTATTTTTTTGATGCATAGTAGCTGGCTGGTAGCTTACCGAAACGATGCCCATCCGTTACCGGTAGATCGGCTGGCTTGCACCTGTTGCATTTTATTCGCTCTTTTCTTTTAGGTATTGCGGCACAAAACCTGAGGTGTTTCCCACCTCTAGCTAACATGTATAGTGTGTGTGTTTGAAGGCTTCTATCGTATTAGACTGTCATCCGCGGGCTATTTTGTACAACACCGTGCCGGAAAGAGACTCGACAGTTCATATCTAGGCTTCTATCGTATTATATTACACTAGTGCATGTGGAAGTAAATTTCAACCACGTATCACGCGGTTCTTGAAACATTTTCGCCCGGATATACAGTTTGGATCTCAACTGCATGAGATTCAGATGGTGTCCCACAGGTGGTCCAACATAGCTAGTTCAAAGAGGTCCGTAGGCGTAATGCTACTCGGACCATTCATAATCTTAAACGTGTCTATCAGACCTCACCTTAATATGCATCGTTCCAATGAGAACAAGCCTAAGCCAGTCGGTCAACACATGACTTTTCACGCTAGCCTTCAATCATTCTGGTGGCCAGTCTTGGTAACTTCTCTAAGCAAACAACATTCTTTCGAAGCTTAAGCCTGAAGACAGTACTTTGAGTGCGGCCAAACAACCGCTTTGTATCAAGATAGAAAGACCTGAGACTTAGTATTACCCAACGCTCTCCAAAGGCGTAAAAGCTCCTGCTGCGTTCTGTTAGCAGCATGTTGGCACTGCGCTGGAGGCCTGAAGCTGTCTACCATAGCGATGCTCTCGCCTGATCTACACACGGAAATGTTAGGGACCCAGTGGCTGTTTGCGCCGTAGTCCCAACGTTACTTGGTGATGAGAGCAGACATTTGTTTGCGTTCAATGACAAATCTCATGATTCAGACCACTTTGCTACAAAGCACAAATCTTTAGACAACTTATTCCCATTTCCCCTACTAGCGAGCTATACATCGTCCGCAAAAACATAACAAGGGTTCTCGAGAACTGTAGCTAAATCACTTATAAACAAAAGAAACAACAACGGCCCTAGCACTGAACCCTGAGGGACCTTGGTATGAGCAGTGCCCATGCTAGATCTGGCCTCACTAATTCTAAAACTGATGACTCTGAGATGCAAACAAAACCAAGTCAAGTTCTTCGGTAAAAATCGATGATTAGCCGAATCAAATGCTTTGCTGAAGTCTAGGTAGCGGTCTTCTACAGGGATGACGATATCAAGGTATCGAGTTATTTCGTTCAGAAAACAATACGTTTGTAAGACATGACTTTTTTTATAACGAAGCCACGCTGTTCCGCTTCAAATAAGCTGTTAATAACTAAGCGTTCGCAAACTCAATGCCTAATAAGCTTCTTCAATCACTTACACAGAACCCTTGTAAGACTGACAACTCTATAACTCCCATTGTGAATTGCCACAATAACCTGCCTTCCTGGAGGGAACAGTTGTCAGATCGACGGGATACTGGAGAATAGCAGCGAGCGGTTTAACAATCGCTGGATGAACTTTGTCAGGGCTTGACGATTTATGAGGGCGGGGGTTAAACCAGTCGGCATCTCAAATACGGTTGAGGCAGTTATAAAAACGTGTCGCACTTCATTTTCACATGAGCAGTGCGAACGTGAGGGGACTGCACAGCCACTATTCGCACGGTGCAAATGCTCAAAGACACGCTATAATACCGTCATCATGGCTGCATTTTCCACAACCTGACTACCATCCTCCTTAGTTAGATTATCAATCCCCTCTCTCGAACGAAGCTTTTGACTGTGTATAACTAGAATACGAGTTCGGATTACTTTTTGTATCCTGAGCTAGTCTGGGCTCTTAACGATATTTAACGCGCGCCATTCCGGTATCTTTCATAACGCAGACATCGTCTAAAGCCCCCGAATTCCTTGTACCTTTCCCACTACACAATACGTCTCTGAAGCACTCGAGCATTTTGTCGCTGCCACCGGCCGTGCTTACTCCTGCTTCTTTCAGGGCTCAAGAGGACGAACTCATCCAGAAATTGCACGGGGCCGGACTTAAGCATGTCCCATCTCTGTCTTCCGTATGCCCTTTATTCGGCTACCTCGGCTTGTATTATACGCCGTGGCTGCACCGATTTGGGCGAAAACGTGAGGTGGCCAGTACGTGACGTGGCACGGAGGCATGGAAAAATTGTTTGAGGGACTTGGTCAGGTTGGTGTGTGCCGTCTTCATGGATGGAGGCCTCGGGATGGTACACATCAATGTTGGAGACTGTATCAGACATGACGCAGTCAGTGGCGTTCCTGCATTCGGTTTCTTGAATCTTGTTGTTAACTATCATTCCATTATGATAAGTTTAACGTACTTCCGTCTTGCTTCTACTTGCTGTCCAGTTCAGTTCAGTTGAACAACTATGGTCCGAGTACCTAAAGTGCGATGGATCCAGTTGCACCGACTCTCGTAATAATAATAAATAACGGTAGGACAATGGGTTTGCGTGCGAACAGAATGTACATTAAATAGAAGCAAGAAGGAAATGCATGCGACTGGTAGTGATCGCACGACAGCGAAGCGCCATAACGGCGTACAGCTGACACATTATATCCTTTATTACTGTTTTCGTAACTGCGCCATGTCTGATAGGGTCTCCAACATTAGTGCGGACAATCTCGAAGCCCCCATGCGCGAAGACGGCACGCTCCAGCCTGACGAAGTCTCTCAGTCAATTTCTTCAAGCATCTATGCGACGTCATGCACTGGCCACCGCACGGTTTCACCCAAATTGGTGCAGCCACGACGTATAACACACGTCGACGAAGCCGACCAAAGGGCATACGGAAGAGATAGCCTAGCCAACACAAGCGAGTAAGATTCTGCAAACACTAGAGAGAGGCACCAGAAGGATTCTTGCCAAAACTATTTGGTGTCCTCAGCATTGCTCATCCGGTGTTCTCACCAGACGTGAGCAATACTCCGCAAGCACCGGTGGTCAAACACGGCCAAACGTTTAATGTCTTCACTGCGAACTGGCCATGTCTCTGATCCATACAGTAAGACATGCCTTATCACAGCGTTATACACCCAACGTTTCACTGACAAGCTGATATCCCGCCGTCTCCATAGACGTTTGAGTCTCTAGAAAGCCACACGGGCTTTGCTGATACGCGAAGTAACTTCCTTAGTGATGTCACCACCGGAGGTGACAGCTACCAACATGAGTGAACCGATCCAGCAATTCCAGTGGGTGTACGGAAATAGTTAGCATCGGAGGTGTCGGCCCAGTCCTGCAACAGCACTTTTCACTTTGAAGTTGCAATGTACATGCCGAAGCGTGCGGCACTACGCACAAGTCTGTGCGGTAGTGTTTGTATAGCTAATGCATCAGACACGAGGCGAACTATTTCGTCCGCATACTCCAGTTTTGTCAGCCGGTTGCCTGGAAGAACTTCCATTCAAAGATAGTCTGAATTATTAGTCTGAAGATTTGAAGGGTTATTGAGTTTCCCGACGACTGTGACGTCCTACAGCAGGATTTTGACCGCCTATCCCGTAGGTCTGCAGAAGTTGACCTGCCGGTCTACCCGGCCTACACATTTATCAGCCTGAGGAATGGTAGCAATGGCTGTGCATGCATCCTGGCCAACCAACCCCTGCATCCAATCATTTCCTTAAAGGATCTAGACTTACTCTCACACCGTGATCTGAAGTCTGTCGACAGCATGAACAGACGGTACGCAAGCGGACTACCCCTGTTTTGGGCAATGGGACTCCGCTTCTGCATTTGCTCTGAACTGAATGTTACTCGTCTCTTTTGTTCTATAATGTGACGTGCTTGAGTACGGCTCGCCTGTCTACGGTCCGAGCGCAACAGGTGAGATGCAGAGACTGGAACGGATCCAGCATGTAACTACCCGGCTCATTCCCAGTTTCCAGGGTATTTCGTACGAGGGCTGATGTAGCAGACTAGGTCTTTATACCGTGTCATCTCGTCGGCTTCGACTTGGCTTTAATATAATTCACCGGATGCTGCACCTGGACCATTTCTTTATGTTGTAGTCGCTGTTGCACGTTCGCGCACCAAGCAGCACACGCGGACCGCGGATTTAGGGCGCATCAGTCACCCTGTATGCTTCGAGCGTCGAGTGGTGAAATATTAGAATAAATTGACGGAGAAATTAGTCGAGGCGAAATCAGTGTCGGAATTTAAGGGATTCCTTGACGCTCATTTTGCGGACTACAGGTATCGCACCCGGATAAGATGTAGTGCAGCTGCAATCTGCTGCCACTGCGGAGGAATCAGCGACGTGATTCCGCGCGTGTGCCCGATCTGCCTACGATGGAGCAACACATATTTTTAGCTACTCGCTCTCTATTCATAATATTCATAAATTATCATTTCGATCACAAAATTGAAGAGGAAAGGAGTTATGGGACAACCCTGGCGAACCCCATTTGTCGTGGGGAGCTCAGGAGAGAGTTTCCTTTACACTGCCTCGGGAATCACGGTAGAGGGACAGCATAACGTAAAGGAGTTTAGCTGACACACCCTTCATGGATAGGCAGTGCCACAGGCTGTCTCGCTTAAGAGTGGAAGACTGATTTGAAATCAAGGAAAACCACCATATTCGGTCGTATGCGTGTGTGTCCCTGCTCTGAACTTGGCGAAGAGTAAATATGTGGTTGATGCAACCACGAGCAGCAACGACGCATCAGTCCAACTAGCCCATGTAATACTGTTGATGGTAATGATGATGATTATCCGTCAAACCATGTCGTTGGTAAAGTTTAGTTACCTTTGGCACTGTATGGCATCCATCCCGACCGTAGATACTCTCGTTTGCCCCACTCTAGGTCCCTTTGTGTCTGTTTTTGTTACCATTGAACTTGGCCGCTGTTTTCCACATGCTTGTGTTGCTTTAACTTTTGTGTACTCGCGCCGGCTTTAGCCTCCTATTTTGCTGAACTACGGTGTTTGTATCTTTTCTCTTTTCAGCGCACGTGATCACTTATTCATCTTATTCGCACGATAACGTATATGCCACCTGCGGTTCTGATGCTATGCAATCCCAGCGTACTACATCCTCTGGTGCCCAGTTGAACACTGCTCACAAACGTGATTCACAGGTACAAGGTCTCAAATCTCGTTTACGGGTTAATATGAACTCCATCGTGGAAAACTACGAGATGATCTTATCCAGAGCGAGAGTTGGTGTCATATCCGCTTCTAGTCTTGCAGATTGATTTAGGCGATGACAGTTTTCCCGGATTGAGTGCGTTCACGCAAGCAGAGCAAGACACTTTTGAGATGAGCGTTAGAGCTGCGAATATAGTAAGTCCCACTGCTCAGACACTCCACGCTGGTCATTACCTGCTTCATGTAACTGTTCGTAGTTTTACTACGAATGTATCTTTAAAGCGGAATTCCTAACCATCTATAGTGCAAATCTAACTAGTGTGAAGTTGTATTCAAGTCCCAAAGAGTGTTCTGTTTGTTTCTTGCTACCATCTCGTTCTTTCCGAGTGACCAGCTTCTTGGTATGCGGTGCACGTGGCCGATGAGTGTGACTTTTATGCTCATGACTGTACTACATTTCAACAACTGCAACTCATTAGCACATAGCTTTTCTTATATAAACAGTCATTTACAGCTGTTCTGTACAAACATCAGTCTCTTTTAACTTAGTTTTTGTGTTTGAGCTATTAACGCTACTATAATTTATTTTCTTGTCAAATGTTGAAGCAGCGACAAGCATACGGACGACTCACTGTGGTGATTTCTTTTGACTTGAAGGCAACTTTTTACTCGGTTGATCGTACCAGCTGTGGTCGATGCGGGATAACGGAGACGGTGGAATGCGCTTTACTGGCTTAACGATGGAAGTAAATGAGCTGAGATGTGAAATGACTCTTCATGATGCCATGGGCGAAAACCATTGAGAACTCGTTGATTTGACGTTCATCCCGGTCGAGCAATAGGAGCCATGTTCCAGTAGAGGTTAAGGACAGTGTCACGTATGCAGTTGAGTATTGATTCATGAACACAGGCACACACATGCTTGGTTGACAATAACCTTGCCTTACCTTCCTTATTTCATTGGTTTTTCTTTCCAGCTTTTCTAGGCACTGTAACCTAGAAGGCTTTTAGTATATCGATTCCATGCTACGCGTGCGCGTTCTGTTTCCTTATTGGCTAAGGGCCATACTTAACATTCTGGCCACGAGGTTAAACTACTGCGATGTTACACTTTCCTACACCACTTTGCAATATTCCTTCTGAGAAACCAACACCGGCTACCTGAAACCGCTGAAAGCGCACTTTTTTGGATTATTTGCAGCTGCTACACGTCTTGCAACCAAACACGGTACTCTCAGAGAGCCACAAAATTAAACTATTGAAACAATTTCTAGGGGATGAAAACCAAAGACATTTTGATGCCTTACATGTCGCTGAGAATGTGACAATCAATAGCGTGCTGGAAGTCCTCAACGCGTTATGGGGTTTGCGACTGAAGGTATGCACTGCGCGGTATTCTTTATCGATCTTGCGTCAAAACCCTGAAGATAGTGCCATTGATTTCATTGCACGGATTCGGCGAGCCCTACCAGAGTGTCGGCATAGTGAATTCCCAGCTCCGAAGTTCGAAGAGGCGATGGTTTTACAGTATTTGATATCCGGTATCCGTAACGAACCGGCTCGTGAAAGGCTGTTGTCGGAAGATGAGACGAAGTATGAGCTAGGAGAAAGCCTGCAATATTGTTCGGCAACTGCAGAATGTCCATAAACAGTTAGCAGCATTTTCCTCACAACCTCATAAAGACACAGTCCAAGCAGTCGACCGAAAAGATGTTATCGCGTGGCGGTTCGAATTGCTTTTTACCTGTTACCGATGTGGTAGTCAGTGTTTATCAGCCGAGGGATGTCGTCATAAACAGAGTATCTGCCGTCAGTGTGGAAAATTAGGTCACTTGGCCCGAGTTTGCCGATCTAAAACTTGCACAGCCGCGACACCACGTTTTCCAAGAAAGCCCGTGAAGGTTGTCTAGTCTTCAGACGAAGAAAACTAGCTGAACTCGATTTGGAACGCAACGTCGAGCATCTTTAGCATTTACCCACCCTACACTGCACTTGGAAATAGGCCAGTGGGTTAAAATGGAAGTTGATACCGGTGCCTCAGTTACTATAATCAGCACTGCGTCAGTTAAACGCGTACCCAAGTTATCTTCCTGTGAATCAACTTTGCGTACGTAAACTGAGTAGCCGATCCCAGTCCTGGGAAAATGCACTGTTCATGTTAATTATCATGGAGAGAAGCGGACGTTACAGGCCAATGACCAATGATTGTCCAAACTTACTCGAGCGCGACTGGATTAAATTCCTTGCGGGTACGCTGGCGAAAGTGAAGTTCATGCCCATTAACCAGCCCTTGGAGGATGTGCTCAACGTATTCTGACGTTTTTGATAATAAACTAGGAGAATTGCACGGATATCAGGCTATTATCAAATCACGGCCGGGAACTCAGCCCCGCTTTTCAGGGCACGTACCCTACCTTATTCCCTGAGATCAAAGGTGGAAGACGAAATAAAGAGATTGCAATCAGCGGGAACAATCGAGCCAGTCCAATACAATGAGTGGGGAGCTCCAATAGTTCCAGTCCTGAAGCCGGATTGTTCTGTGCGTATTTGTGGTGACTATAAACTAACTGTTAATCGTTATTTACTTCTGGATAAGTATCCCTTACCTCGGATAGAGAATCTGTATGCTATGCTGGCAGGTGGAAAAAGTTTACACAGATCGGTCTCAGTCATGCGTGCTTACGAATTGAGTTAGACTAGACCTCTCGCCTATACACCATGATAAGTACCCACAAGTCTCTATTCCAGTACAAACATCTGCCCTTCGGATTCGGTTCGGCCCCGGCGATATTCCAAAAGGTTATTGACAGCCTGATCAAAGATATTCCTTTCTTAAAACACAGCATTGCAAAGAGATTTCTTTTCGATAGTTCACATCAGGCAATTACAGCTACAGGACTGATAAATGCAACAGTAAACTGGTAAAGGCACAATTAGGGACGGATGGGACGGTTTGAATAGATTTAGCATGTTTTTTCGGTGCTCAAATCAATATAATCAGGTGACATCGTGATAGGACTAACAGACAGCAAAATAACTTGTGTAAATGGAAGAGGCAAAAATACTAACAATATAAAAATTAGTTAATTACATATATAAATAGCACCCGGTTATGCGTAATACTCCGGGGGAAGACTTATCATCAGGGCCATGGCAAAGTCAAGGGTTGCACAAGCACCCTATGCTTGCATAGCTCTGATTGTGTTAGCCGGATCGCGATGGCTTCAGCCGTCTGCAAGAGACGTTTCCTTAACCCTTTCGGGTATCGCCTCGGTACGGCATAGTAGACCTTGAAGGCATCTTTGGTCAAAATCGGATGCCCACCTAGGATCAATTGTTCCAAGATCGAGCTGTTTATACTACTGAGCGTGCCTCTCCGCAGTGACCCTGGACACTGCTTAGCCATCCGTACCGACAGACACCTGGTCGTATGCCGGAGGTACTTGGCACCACAGGTGCAAGTAAACTGAAAAACGATGTGCCATTCTAATACCATTGTCGATGCACTTAGTCGTCTCCCGCAACAGCATGGCACAAAAATGAACAGTGAACCCAGGGGGTTTGCCAATATGATGCAACGTCTTGAAAAGACACCCATCCGGAGTTACGTGATGCGGCTCCTGACGAATCGGGACCCTGTGTTATCGATGGCCTACGGTCACGTCAGACGAACTGAAACCATTCTCCTATCAATGAGTTGAGTCTATACGACGGCTGTATATTTCGAGGCTCGCACATCGTGCCACCGGAAGAATTACGGTCCCAGTTGCTGAGTGAGCTGCATGACGCACATCCTGGCATGAACAGGGTCAAACCGCTGGCACGTGGTTACTGTTGGTGGCCGGACATTGACCAGGATATAGAGCGGCTGCTGAAAAACTGCGAACAATGTCAGAAATACCGAAGACAAAAATCTCCTGTCCGACAAGTCCATGGCGTTGGCCAGTGAGGCCCTCGCAGCGGGTTCATGCGGACTACTTTGTCCCAATCAGTGGATTGATGTGTCTACCTTTGACTGATCCCCATTCTAAATGAATAGAAGTACGTCCATTTTCACGTGCGACTTCCGTAGCAACAGTTGCAAAAATGCGCTCCATATTCACCATTTTCGGTATCCCAAAAACGGTATGCACAGACAACGGGACCCCATTTACCAGTGAAGAGTTTAAACAGCACCTGAGTAACAACGGAATACAGCACATCAAGTCTGCGCCGTACCATCCCGCTTCGAATGTAATGGCAGAACGAACAGTCCAGACTGTTAAGCAAGGTCTGCTCAAGCAGACTCATGGAACTCTGCAAACTAAGTTGGGTCGTCTCTTGTTCTCTTACCGCGCGACAGGGAAGTGACCCGCGGCGCTAATGTTTGGTCGGCCACTACGAACGATTCTGCACCTACTTTTTCTGAACCCTCGAAGAAGACTGCCTCACAAAACAAGCTGGCAACCTGCTACACTCATGTCTTCAACGAGTAACCGAGCGGAGCTACAGCTGGAGGACGACTGTGTGGTGTGTCACCACTTTGATCATATCCGGCCTCGCTCAAACGAACCATAGGAGTAGGATCACAAAGCTGATGCAACAACGGACGGAGAATCTGCTGCACAAAAGCAGTAACCACAACCGGATGCAGAACAACCACAATTAGGACGCTCAAAATGTACGCCTAAACCAGTTGATCGGTATCGACCCGGTGTCTGTAGTCTTGACCCGGGAAGAATGAGGTGTCACGTATGCATTTGAGCATTGATTCGTGAACACAGGCACTCATGATTGGTTGGCAATGACCTTGCCTTACCTTCCTTATTTCATTGGTTTTTATTTCCGACTTTTCTAGTCGCTCTACCTTAGGAAGCTTTTAGTAACTCTGTTCCATACTGCGCGTGCGCGTCATGTTCCCCATATCGGCTAAGGGCCATACTTAACATGCAGCAACCATGATCCAAAATAAAGTTTGGTATGTTCAGTGAGAGCTTTTAATTAAAACTTGCCTACTTCACAAATTGTACGGTCGCTTCCTTTGCTGACGCTCCAGCATAACTGAGACTATCCGATGTCGAAGAAGGGCGTAAGGATACGAAGAAGTGTCGCTTGTCTATCCGCGTTCTGGGAGTTCTGGGTCATTGATTGAGCAATGAGATGGCGAAAGCTGTGCATCTTATTGTTCAGAGAACGTGCATTAATAAGAAGGATTGTGATATTGCCCAGCTCAGCAGTGAAGTTTAATATTTCATGGAAAATAGGGGGTATTACTGTGGTACTTGGTAGTGATGGTGGTAGTTGAGAAATATTGCGGCCATCGTACATGCGTAGCTGGACTAGATTGAAAAGCTGGCTGGTAAGGCGATGGCTCTCTGGGTATGTCAGACTATGAGGTAAGGGCGTTGGAGGCCATTTCTAACGTTGGTAAAAGAGATTCTGCGGTAGGACTTTTGCTCATATTTCCACTTTTAGATTGTGCTCTAGAATCCATGGATTAGCTGTGATCCGACAGTTTTCCAGAAGTTGTGGGCTAGAGGTAGAGCATCTTTCTGGTGATCCAAAGGCTACTTCACTGTATGGGGTAAGCTGTTGCAGCTGTCTGCACTTGGAATACAGCATCTTGACGTCAGATGCATCTGATAGGTTTAGGAGCACAGGATTGGAACAATCCATAGAAGATGGTTTAAACCTTATCCGTGAAACTAGTTGCCCCTTTATGGACAGATGACTCTTCAGTATGTAAATGAGATTTTCCATTTCGTAAGACGAATATATATTTAGCACTACAACTTTTCCAGGTCGAGGATTAATCCGGGGAAGATGTGTGACTACTTCTTGGGCAGGTTTAATACAATTTATCGACAGAGTGCGGCAGTTTGTTCTTGCGTATAAAATTTCGTGCCTAATCGGTGTTGTGTTTAAGTCAACTGACTTTTGGGGTATATCTAGGTACCTTTTCGTTCAGTTATATCCACAGATGGGACAACAAGCTTAGTGGCAACCTCTGCTGTGCGGTCTCTTGCAGGTTCGATGTGGGCGTCTAGATCAGATTCAGAGGCACAGATGTCACTTAAAATAGATGTCAGTGGTGGTTCTCTACTTTGAGACTAACTCGACTACTGTGGCAACGCCTTTACCTCGCATTTCTCTTTAAAGTAGGGTACGATCCGCTCTAATCAACTCTTTTAAACTCAGTTGTCGTTATAATCATTGACCGTTTGCCAATGAAGGATCTCGCAGCATACACGGTGGTGAATTTTAGAAGTACAGAATAATCGTGTTTTTGTAACTTTTTATGCAGGCGCATGACAGTGCATTCTCCCTCGCTGATGGAAGCAGCTGATAAAAGTATTCGCTTAACTTTCTCAAGTATATTAAATATCACGACATTCTTAGAACGACTGATTCTTTCATGTGCCTTAGTTGCTATAGTGACTATATAGTTTCCGGCCCTTTCAAGGTGTTCAGTACATTGGGATTTTGATGGTTCCGGAGTGTAACTTATTGGTATCAATAGCCTTACAATAGGTTCCAATATACTCATTTGACTTAAGGTCTTCAACTCTGCCTACATGAATGGTATTTTGTTACATAGTTGTTACACTATCAGCCACTTGTGCTTCTGAGGCTTCCGGAATTTTTGTTGTTGCTGGTTTAGAAGCAGTATTAACTTCAGGTCTTTTCCTCAGTGGAGTTTGTCTTCTAGAGACAAGAGCCTTGGGAGTCATTCTTGACACGCCAATTAATGCAAAAGTGAGTAGACTATTTGTCGGATTTATAACCCACTCGATAAGAACAGAGAGGTGAAAAGATAATTCGCAATGGACTACTCGAAAGAAGGATCTATGTGAGGCACCATTTGAAGTATCACTTTTAGTGTCCTCCAAAGCGACGAAAAATTTCTTTCCCTATGATGCAGAGCGCAAGTATCACACAGGTTAGTAAATAGTAAAACTATTGTGCGTACTTAAGTCGCGCGAATGGTTCAATCGTTTCAGGTTCCAACTTGTTTCAGTGCACTATAATCGATTCACTCCAGTTAGCCGGGACAATCTTCCCCCCAGATACGTTCGAATAGAGAGGCCAGTGCTTTGCAGTGCATGTCATTTCCATTCTTAACTAGTGCAGGTGGGAGGGAATCCGGGCCAGCAGCACGAAAACGGTTGATGGCTGTGATCGCGTTTCGGACCTCAGCCTCCGATAGAGCCTCTAAACTAACCGTCCATGGTTCGTCCTGCATCACCTATGTGAGAAGAGGTCGGGGAGCAGGGGGCCAACTAAACTGATCTTGAAAGTAGTCCGCCCAACGCGCCATATGGCGCTCCTTATTGTGTATCAGTGCACCCGCGCTGTCTCTGAATGTCTCACTGACGCCTGGTTTCTTGGGACCAGTGGTGCGGATCAGCCGGAAGAGCTTCCGGCAACTGCTTACTTCTGCTGCCTCCTCCATTTCTTGAGCCCGACTGGTCCACTGGCTTTCCTTGTCAGCACGCAGGCTCCGCTTAGTTTGCGCTTACTAGTCCGTCTGGTCGCATTGTGCTCAGAGCCAGCAGGGGGGTTTCTTCTGTATTCCAACTGGTTCACCGACCAATGACTGGTGCGGTGACGATTGCTAGTGTCACAAGCAGATGCTCCTGCTTCGTGTATGGCGGCCAACATCCTATTCCACTGAAGCTCAGTGTCATTAGGACAGTGGAGCGAAAGCTCGGTACTCAGTGCATCTTGGTAGGCTTGCTTGAGATAATTTCTCGGTTGCCAATCAGGGGCGACGCTTGGTGCACCTCCTGATAAAGTTCATGGAGAAACGACAGCGTACCAAGACATGATTATAGTCGACGCAGGTAATCCAGTACGAGCGGCAATTCAGGATGGAACCGCACCACTTGTAACTTATGGCAACTTGGTCACTTTGGGTCCATTGCTGGCCAGCTATAGGAGGATGCCAAATGGCACTTCGGCGTACACTGTGTCTAAATGCACATCTGCTAAGAACTAACTGGTTCTCCACACACAGTTGCAGTAGACGCTCGCCGTTGTCAGTCCATTCAGAGTTAAGCCCATACTTCTCACCTAGTTGAGCTTCTGAAGGGTTCAGACGCCCTACTTGTGCGTCCATGTCCCCTGCAAGTATTATGTTATCCGAACTAGTAGCACTGCGCAGTAGCGCGTTCAGTTCGTGACAAAGTGTGTTTTTGGCAGCATCAGAACTGAGTCGATGGGAGCATAAACGGAAATCACGAACAAACAACGTTTTGTACTACTTCGTGAATCAACCTTAGTTGATGTCATCCAATGGGCTGCACACAATCGGCTGTTCACTGGAATCCAATCAACCAACGATGGCTCAGCCTTGGAGCTTAGAATGATACCTACCCCAGCTTAACCGGTGAGTGCTGCATCAGCGTCTCCGGATGCGTGCAACCAATAGCGAGAGGACAAGCCAGGCGCAGTTACTTCAACAACCCGTTAGGGTCATCGATCTTAGTTTCGGACGCACTACACACGTCAATACCTAGGGTGTCTAACGTGCGTGCGAGTGCAGCTTCTTGACCGATTTGTCTTAAAGTACCAACGCTGAATGCCTTCAGGGAAACGGGATATTGTGGCCATATGAGGGACTGTTGCTGATAGGTGTCCGGTGGGTATTGCAGGAAGGTGACTGCAAATGGTTCTACTCAAGTGGCACTTCGGTTGCTGTCAATTAAGCTGAGAATTATAGAAGGATGGTTAGTAATGGGGGACGGGTTGGGAGTAAGGGAAACAGGTGGGAAAGGAAGAAGCGAGGCGCCAGCAGTAGCATTTTTCGCTTATCCGCCCTTCTGGATGCAGCAGATAAGGCGACCCTTGATAACCTGCGCGCCGGTCTTTTCTGCAGAATAGAGCTGCATTTTGAGGAAATTGTCATGGTTGTATGTGGACTGAAATACTGCCAGGGCGCCCAGACCTAGACAGGAGGACGAGTAGGGTCCTCAATCAAAGCCTTTGGCGTAAAAGCCTGTCCATAAGACAGTGGTGAGGTGGCAGTGATTTAGTTTTACAGAAATGGACGCCGTCCCATTTCAAACCCCTAACCAGGAGACTGAGTTTGTCTGACCTTTCACCATTGACCAACCTGGTATGAATAGCTCTCAAGAGGTCCGGAGGCACCATCCAGTATAGCTCAATGGGTTTAGGTCCAGTCTCATTGCGACGAGTGTCATCGATTCGGTTGATCGATATGCCCCTTGGTACTGTACTCAGGACAGGTGTGCCCGAAAAATAGGTAAACATTATCAGAGCAGAGTGAGGGCTTACGGCAAACTGTCGCCGTCCTTCAGCATCTCCAGCGGTATGAGACAAGGATGCCTGTTGCTATTTTTCTTTTTTGACTTCTCCATCGACGTAGTCACGGAGACTGCATTCACTGGACAAAAGGTGCAAGCTGTGGACCCAGCCCCAGGTGATTCACCTTGACATGGAGTACGCTAACGGCATTGCCCTAATTGCTAACAGCTCCCAAACGTGCCAACTAGCATTTGTCATTGACTGTCAGTCGTTTCGGGCTATGCTTTGCGCCGTTGAAATGCAAAGTCGTTCTCCAAGATTGGCAGGGATCCACCCCTCGCTGACCCTTGATGGGGATCAGCCTAAAATAGTCGAAAATTCAAGTACCTATAAAGCTATATCAGCGCCAGTGGAACGGAAGATGATATCACCAACCCCATAGCGAAAGCTCTAGGTGCTTCTGCTAATCTCCGCCATCTGTGACGTCGGCACGACATCACTCTCACCATACAGCCGTTCGATCAACCCTGCTTTGTAGTTGTGAAACCTGGCCCATGGTTTCTACAGATATAAATAAGCTTGTTACTTTCGAACATCGCTGCCTTCACGGCTTACCTCATATCTGGTGGGAGCACCGCGTGAGCAATGAACGTGTTGGACATCATGTATTTGATGCAGGAAAGAACAAAAGAACCGCTAAGCACCGTTATTTCACGCACCAGGCACAGTTGGCTAAGCCGTGTTACGCATGCCAGGACACAGAATTCCGCGACGTGGGTTGTTTGCACGCCGGAGATATGGTTAGAAGAAGAGGGTAGGCCAAGCAATGATAGCGTCGTACTGGGGACCGAAGGAGAATGAACACGTTTAGTTGGATACACTAGTTGACGTTCTTTGTGCTGTGAGTTTCTTTGTCCTTCTCTATCCCACTTATCCTCATCCCCGACCGAGATCTCATTGTTGAAGCATACCATGTTACTAAGCGGTCACCTTTTTGTATTCTATATTCTCTCATTTTGCATATATTTTATCCTTTTGTATGGCAGTCTCTGGTGAATAGTTTTGAACCTTCAGGTAATGTCTAATGATGATGGTGGTGGTGGCGGTGATGATGATGATTATGATGAGGATAAGGATGAGACTGATGAACGAACTAGCGTGTGACTGTCTAGCATTCGCCTATGCACACCATCGTCGCGGACGCACCGATACGATCCGACGCCGGCAACTTGCCACAGGCAGCGATGAGCACAGACTTGAAGGCACCGAGGGTCCTCAGCTCGATTTTTCATTCCCATACAGTAGGACGGCCCTCAATGTGGCCTTGTCAAAACGATGTTTCATACCGAGGGTGAACTCTTTCTGATGTCACAAATGTCGCAGACTAAAGAAGACAGTTCTAGGTTTTGCAATACGTTAACTGACTTCCTTGCTTATTCGCCCATCGTTATCGATGTAGCTGCCAAGTGCAATGCTTCGAGTTCTTCCCTAACATTGTTCATTGGGTCATCAAATGCCTGGTGGCCCTTTAACAACACAGCACCTTGAGGGTGCAAAGCGCTAGTCAAATAAAAGACTTTTGTTTAGAACCTGTTCAGGATCGATTGGGCCGCCCCGATATTATTACGATACAAGATAATACCGTCGCATAATCAAGACCAACTTGTACTTCATAAAGTAACACCCTGACGCCCGCATCATGAAGCGCCGCAAGGGAATACTCCATGATACAGTCCACGACGAACTTGAACAAAAATGGGGAATTGGACAACCCGGACGAACGCTACTTGCTGCCGGAAGGATATCTGATATGTCACCGTAGACCCTGAGGTTGCTTCTGATTCTCGAGCACAGGGCATGTAAAATGTTCACAGGCTTCATGGGAACATTTTTCCGCACAAGCATTTCAAACAGAATTGATCGAACTATTAAATGGAACACACTTTTGGAGTCCAGGAACACAGCCATTGCCAGTCCGCGATACGTGTGATGCTGATTTAACACCTGTCACAGGGTGGATGTGGTCTATACAGCTCCGTCTTAGGCGGTAGCCTGCTTGCTCTAAAGTAATGCGACGAACGAGTATGGGCTTCAGTAAATTTGTAACCACCGATGTTAGGCTAATGCCCCTGAGTTTAGCACGGCTGCTGCGACTGCTCTTCTGTATATTGTCACTATAATCGATTCACTCCAATTAGCTGTGATGGTCTTCCCATTCCAGATCTGTTCGAACAAGGTCAGCGCTTTACAGAGGGCCTCGCCACCATTCTTAATTAGTGCGGGTTCGAGGGAATCCGGGTCAACAGCACGCAAACGATTAAGTTATGCGATTGCGTTTCGGACCTCAGCTTCCGACGGAGCTACTGAACAAACCGGTCGTGGCCCATCCTGCACCATCTGAGTAGAAAGAGGTCCAGGAGCAGGGAGCCTACCGCGTTTATCTAGGGAGTGCTCCACCCAACGAGCCATACGGTGCTTCCTATTGGGAATCGTGGTACCCTAGTTGTCTCTGATTGTTTTCATTCGCATGAATGCAGTTCGAAAGCCCTTAACGCCTCCTTATGAAGGCCCATTCAACATGTTATCACGAAAGTCCAAATACTTCATCTTGGAGAAGAATGGATCAAAGGAATTCGTGAGTATTGATTGCCTTAAACCTGCTTTTGTTAAGACAAAGTTACTTTGATTCAGGGTTGTTGCCTCCTGTTAGTCAACTGACCGATGCTGATGCATCAGCACCTTCTTGCACTATTCCCGATTGATTCTAGACACACATGTTCATCACCTCCAAACTAGCCGAATTCGTTCCTTAAGTAGCTTAATGGAACGTTTCCTTACCAGCTCACGCTCTTTGGGAGAGTTATCTTGTGGTTATTATTGCTTTACATTTTTTCATTAACGTAATCAATTTTAACACGACATCATTTGTACATTTTGTTTGAATTACCGAAAAACACTGAAATTTACTTCTTTGAAATCCGCGCTCACGTCGTACTGATTTTTGGCTGTGTTGCATCTGCTTGTGTACTCTGCCTTCTTGTTTGCTTGAAAGCTGGTTATCTACTGTGGAATTACGATTTAACGTCTGCTTCCGCTGTGTCCGACGTGTTCGACAGGTATATCGTTCTTTGTAACTGGAACTCAGCTGTGATTTGACCGTGCATTCGTTTTCCCCGGATTTTTCGCATTTCCTAATGAACTAAGGCCTTTTTGTATCTTCTAGACCACTGCGTCTTTTCATATATCTTATCTTTTCGTATTATGGTATGATGACTGGCATGTTTCTCACCTCTACCTAACGTATAACCATAATGATGTTGACTTCTAATCTGGCATGCAGAATATGATGTCACCTCCATTGGAATTAGGTACGACGACGTCAGTATTTGGGTGTTCAGAAGCGGCTGTCGCCTTTTATTGTACACACCATAGGACATTCCCAATAACAGTGGTAAGTGACGTGATGCTAGACTCTCCTCACATATCTATCGTTCTTATCATCTTTTTATTCTTTCTATCCATCTGGTGATACACTCTAACGTGTATTCATGTCTTGTCTGCGTGTCTGTGCACAATATCGTTCAATTCTTACATTTTCCCTTTTTCTAATGAAGGTGCACGCCTGTGAGAATCTGACACGCCTTGTCTCCGAAATTAAGCAGTTACTCATACTGGGTGATTTTAGGTGGTTGGCCCAAACCACGATGAAGAATCGTGAAGACTTGAGACAAAGGCGTGTCGATCTGGACCGTGCTAGCATTAGACTTCGCGACAAGCTGGCCGCAGATCTGTACGGCGTCGAAGAGGAGTGCAGTAATTTCAACCCTTCTTTCGCTTTCGGCGCGGACTATTGCCTCGGTTCAATCGAAACTTCCTCCTCCTTAACTGTCCCAACTCATTCCGACGATGTTAAACCTAAACGGAGTTAATACTAACCACATCTGCTCCCCTTGAAATGAAAAGATTGCCCTTCCTTTTAGACTGCCTTGCTCTCGTTGCTGTTTTCTGGGTACTCTGAAAATTTGTGGCGATTGTACAGTTTCATCTTTCCAACTGTACCTTTTTATTCTCGTCTCCATTATTTCTTGTACGGGTTGTTTTAATTTACCAAAAACCGATAGATACTTCTTCGAATTTCGATTCGCCTTCTGGTTTCGGCTACGCGCGTTGTGCTGTCGCTTGTCGGTCTGTTTGCCTCGGTTATCGATCATCAGATCCAACACGCGGAATTATCGTGCTTATTGTGATCTCGTCTTTCGTATCGGATTGTGTGACTAATTGCCGAACTACAGAGGATCGTGCTTTACCGAAGGTCAGGTCTAACATTCTCAACTCATAGACTGAGAGTTCTACTATGTAGTTAGGCCTTTTGGTTTGGTTTTTCCACCATATTTGCTTACGTCGCTTTCTTTTTTTGGAAGCTCATCACTCCTTTTTGGGCATTTACAATGTCTGACCACGTTGCCCGCACTGAAATTTCAGAAATTTTTATTGATCTTTCTTTGCGTACCTTCGGTTCATATGATCCTCATGTGTGTTTTTACAATTTGAAGTCATTTTTCTCATATGTTGCAGTCATTGATGTTCACACATGTTACTGTCTAGCTTCTTACCCACATCGCAACTAATCTGTTAGATCTGCTGTATCCTTACGATTAACTCAATGCCGCCGTTTTAAAGCGCACCACGACTTCCGACGAAGCCGGATTTCGACAGCTTATTTCCGGTGTTGAGCTCAGCGATTGCACATCGTCACAACTCCTGAAACACATGCGTACCTTGGTCGGTCCCACTAAGATCGATGACACTGTTCTGCAGCAGCTGTGATCGAGATGTCTTCCAGCAAACGCCTCAACTCTTCTTGCTGTAGTTGCACATGATCTGTCTTTGGACAAACTGGCCGAGATAGCTGATAAGGTTCGCGAGTACTTCTTTAAAATAACAGTATGCCACTCTGTCGTATTGACGGCCAACATCGCTAATAAGAATGACCGCGGAATCAATTCGTGATAGGTTATCGAAGCTGGATCTCGCTACCTAGACTATGAATCGCTACCGTGGTACCTAAGTATTCGTATTCCTGCCAGGAGTTCGGCACGCCAGTTCTGTTGGTGCCATCACCGTATTGGAGATGATATAAGCAATTGTCGACCGGGTTGTAAACATCCGAAGGCACTCTACAAATCGCAGCAGGGAAATCTCCGTACCAGCTAGTAATGGCGACAGCTGCGTTTGGCTACTCGTATTCTCGCCTACTTTACGTCTTAGATTCCTCAACCACTTTGCACTTCTTGGTTGACCCATGCCGATGTTAACGTTATTCATCGTGCTGCAAAGTGCGCAACCTACTCCCAACTGTGCTGACATTGCAAGCGGCTAATAGTCTAAAGATTCATACATACGGCCAGAAATTGCTCACTCTCAACATTTGTCTCTGTAGAAGTTTTCCCCTTCGCTTTTCTTCTATCTGACGTCCGACGCCCTATTCTTGATGTGGATTTTCTCACCATGTTCGGCCTCTCCGTAGATCCACGTTATCGAAAACAGCGCGACCTCTCTGACCGTTTCGGGTACAGTCAGTTCGATCGGTCTTCACTTGGCATTACCCACGGACCACGTATTCTCCGAACTACTTTTGCAATTTCCTGCTCTTTATCAGTCGTCTGAAGAGTTTCAAATAGCCTAAGCACGAAATTACTAGCTACGTCTTAACACCGACAGTAACAGCTTGACTTCGATGACTACCTCCAGACAAGTTGCCAAGGCCAAGTTCGAAAATATGTCTCGTCTCGGTATCGTTCGTCCTTCCAAAAGCCCATGATCGTCCACGCTTCATATGGTTTCCAGAATGTCCAGTGGCGACTGAAGACCTTGCGGAGATTACCGGGCGCTAAACAATGCCGCTGTCCCCGATAGATATCCGATTCCGCACATCCACGATTTTTCAACTGGTCACCTGGAAGAACGATTTTCTCTCAGGTAGACTTAGTGCGTGCCTACTACCAAATTCCGCTTGCCTCTGACGATATTCCGAAGACCGCTATAACCACACCATTTGGTCTTTATGAGTTCATTCCCCTGCCGTTTGGTCTACTTACTACTGCACAGACTTCTCAGAAATTCATCGATCAGGTCCTTAGAGGACCCGACTTCGTCTTCGCCTACATTGACGATATTCTTGTAGCCAATTCCAACCATGATGAGCATCTACCACGCCTTTGATCGATTTTCCTACGCTTCGCTCAATACGGCGTTGCGCTCAATGTACATTTTTGGGACCTCGTTCTTTAGCAAACAACATCATAGCGCAGGTCGATCAACCGAGTCGAATGCAGCACGGATGTCTAAGGATGCAACAATGATAGGCCTATGGTAGATACGACGATATTTGAGGATTTGGCGCAGAGTGAATATTTGATTCACACACTTATGGCCGGGACGGAACCTAGCTTGTTCTTCCCTGTACTGAGGTTCACGAATCGGGATGGTCTACGGAGTAGTGTGGATACCGATAGCTTAGAGGCAGCCGAAATGTGACTAATCCCCTGGTGATTGGCGTATGAAGTGCGTGTACCCTTCCGAAAAATCGGGACAATGACTGATTCGCCCCAGGAAGAAGTCAGGTTTTTTCATGCCGGATTTTGGAGAACAATATGATTAACTGACTGATTAAAGCTGCGCCTCCATACTTGAATAACTCCGGAGGAAGTCCGCATGAGCCGGCAGCCTTAAATCATTTCGAGTGTCGAATCGCAAGACAAACTTCCGCTTCACTGGGTGGATCAAGTGTGACTACCCAGGGTGGGCAGCTCGGTTCGCAGGGAATACAAGTGGGCTAATTGAACGGAATGAAAATCTTCAACCCATCCATCCAAGCGTCTCTGTAGGTTGACAATCGGCGAACCATCCGCTTCGCGATTAGTCTCACTGATACCAAGCTTCCTGTGGCCAGTGGAACGAATGAGCCGGAAGAGCCTGCGAGTATTGCTAGAGAGGGCGGCGACCTCCACTTCCGAAACACGCTGAGACCACCAGACGTCCCGATCACTGCATAGGCTTTATTTGAGCTGCCGACTGACAGCACGGCGCACTACATTATGCTTAGACTCTGCAGGTATATTTCTGCGGCGGTCAAATTAATTCAAAGAGCGCGTGGAGATCCAGGCGTTCATAGGGTGCCGAACAAGACCATAGAATAACTGTCCGGAAGAGATCAGTCATGATCCTAGCTTATTCGGATTCACTTTATAATGCTTTGTTTTGGGGGACCCTCGAAACTCATGCAGATCTTCGCACAGACAAGAGCGTAATCTTAGTCAAGAAAAGTGGACCATATTTATCTACAACCCTTTGCACTACCTCGTCGTCTGAAACTGATTGCGATATGCTCAATCTGGTATCGTAATTGAGACGCAGGAGGGGGTCGCCAAGTAGCGGAACGTTCTTCGAATGTCGAAAGCTGGTACTCGAGAGAACGAAACGATTGTATTCGCACAATGTGAAAAGTCTCTCCATTATCTGAGCGGCTCTCATTGAGCGTATGCTGGCAACCGAGGTGACTTTCTCAAGATAATAGGCAACCGACCTGTGCGCTGAGGTCCCCAGAAAGGAGAACAATATCGAATTTACAAGATCTGCTAATGAGCTGGGGAAGTTCACGGTAGAACTCGTCCTTGACCGAGTCACAACTGCAGTCCGTTGGAGCGTAAGCTGAGATCACAAACAAGTTGCGTCTCTCCTCACGACATCTGTTGATCCTGCATGATCCCCGAAGCCGAACAGCACACAGTCGGCTGTTAATCGGAAACCAGTGCAGTAGTGCGGCCTTGACTTTGCTACGTGGGGCTACACCAACGCCGACCATACCTGCCCCAGCTGCCTCTGTATCACCAGATAGACGTAGGTGAAATATGGCTCCGTGATCGGTTGTGAGCTCAACTCAATCACGCTACTAGGATTTTGTAAGCGTGTTTCTGAAAGACGACAAGCCTCAATGACAAGGGCTTCCAAGCTGCGCGCAAGGCAGCCTGTTGCCCGATTTGCATGAGTGTACGCACATTGAAGAATGCCAGACGGAACGGGGACCGCGGCCGAAGGAGGGCCACTGGGTGTCCATGAAACCATCGGGAGTAGAATAATGGAAACAAGAATCAGCTGGTAACCGACATCAATGATTGGTAACAAATGAATAGGTGGCGTGTGAATAGCAAGAGCAAAAGCAGCTGATAGCGCTATAGCAGATGAACAGTGGACGTGATACTACCCGGTTAGCCAAACCGAAATAGGGAGTTGTCTTAGGGGACACCACTCCGAGCCTTTGGCTTAATAGCCTGCCCGCTAGGCAGCGCTGGGAATTCAGGGAATTGAGGACCGGTGACTAAATGTTCAGTTCCTACCACTTTTGTTTTTCGGTTCTTAAGTGGGCAAACAGCTTGAACAACTGACTAGCTTTGTCTACTTAGACAGCTGTGTGTATGCTGATTATACCTTTGGAAAGGAATTTTCTCTTCGCATCACCAAATCTCGGTCGGCGTTTGTAAACTTACAACACTTGTGGCGTTATTGATTGTCTCCCTGTTAGTAAAGCGTCGTGTTTGCAATATCACTGTTCTGGATGTGTTGCCATATGGAAGCGACTCATGGCCAGTTCGCGTAGATGACATGCCTCGGCCTTCGACGTTGGGTGCTTGACGATGATTGCTCGTATTTGGTGGCAACAACTTATCTTCAGCAATGAAGTCACATGCCGTGTCTTAGGGTATGCGAGTATTGCTTTAAACACGCTGGTTTTCCTACGTCAGTTATGATGGCTCGGTCACATTCTGCGTATGTCAGCTGAGCGTTCGCCCTATCGCGCTCCTTTCGCTCGTGCAGGACTTGGCTGGAAGAGACCACGTGGTGATCAGCCATCCACTTGACGACAACATATGAACTCTGGCTTCACCTCTTGCTGACGTTAGATTCACACGTCTGCCGGGTTAGGGACCAAAGGATAGAGAGTGCGGACGGCTGGAAACAATCCAGGATATGGCGCACAATCGAAACCACTGTGGGATATGTGCACGAAAGTGTTTAGATTCAGATGCCTAATGGCTAACAATTGATAGAGACAGAAAAAACATGCGGCATATGGAGGAAATTGAAAAATAACAAAATAGCCGTTCTTCTTGCGTCGCCATAGATTACGAGTGTACCTAATGTGCCATGATGATGGTGCACTTATTAAGCCTGTATTCTTCCCGTTATTGCCGGGGTTTTGTTTGTCTGTATGTCTATTCATCAGGCTATTGCTAATATTACTGCTACTACGCTTACTCTCGTCAAATTTTTC